ACACACATATATATATATATATATATATATATAGACTGTGTCTGTGAATATTAAACTGCAAAAAGACGATATAAATACGAATGTTCTGCATGTTCATTTGATTACCAGAATATACAAGTCTATGAAAAAAAATAAATTATTATTTATTAATTTTAGATGTTTACATTTGGAAAAGCTGTGCTTCCTGCATAAACCTGCCCCTGTTGGTTTGGCAGTAGCTTGCTTGCCCTACACAGTTACCATGTTTAATTTCTTAATTCAAGTTATATATATTATGTTCTATTTGTGTTAAGTTATTTATAATAAGTGAATTTTACTGTTAAGTGCACTGATGTCAGACTCATTTTGAATAATAAAGTTTAAATTGTTAAATACCCTGCCTCCACTACATAGGCCTATGTTTGTCACATCATTATAAGTGTTTGATCACCACAAAAAATGTGTTTATGTATATTTATATTCGGTTTATGTAGGCTATATACTGTACAAACTTTTGACTATACTGTACTATAATATAGCCTACACAAACAAAATCGGCATCGGTCTTTTTACTCCCTAATATCGGTATCGGCCCACCAAAAAAACCATATCGGTCGGGCTCTAATTTATACATAATAAATATACAAAGTACACATATATATTATGTAAACAAAAACTTATTTTGGATGCGATTAATCGGTTGACAGCCCTAGTTCTTTTATATTGGAATAATATTTCAAAATATTACTGCTTTTACTGCATATTTGATCAAACAAACTCAAATAGCCAAATAAACAGACTTCTTTCAAAAACAAAAATCTGACCTACCCCAAAACTTTAGTGTAGTTATATATACTTGCACACAATTCATTGTGACTTCACGTGCCACTGAACCACACTTTTTATACGTTTATCATTACATATAGTCACACACTTTTATAGAAGGCAATGTATAAACAGTATTTACTGCACAATAAACAATATGCTACTTCTCCATTCCAAAAAACAAATTTGCTAAGGTCACCTGAAATAATTTGAATAAGTGTTGGGCAGTGTGTTGATTCAGATAAGCACAATTAAAATTTTATTTAACTTTGGTCAAAAATAATCAAACAAGTGTACACTTTCACAATGTTAGCATCATCATCATTTAACAAGGAACAAGGTCTGCGAGTACGTATCCGACCTGTCAGTTCCCAGATTTAAAGAGCGTCACAATCAGCTATAACAACAACTTTGTACTTGTCAACCGTTAAGTTACTTTTGTCATTTTGACATCAGTTTTGCAGCTGCATGTCAAAATTCAGCAGCACACAAACTGTATGCTGGCACCGGTTTCTTTAAACCGCATCCTGATGCGAGATAAATCAGGCCCGATTTCACGGCAATTCGTACATATTTTACGAGGTAGCTAATTCATACGAATTCGTACGACCTCACTTGTACAAATTCATATGATTTGTGCTTAATCGTATGTATTTTACGAGTTGCACAGTTCGTATGAATTTGTACGAATGACCTACACCTAACCCCGCCCCTAAAACTACCCGTCACTGGGGTCTAGACAAATCGTATAAAATTGTACAAGAGAATTAGCCACCTTGTAAAATACGTACGAATTGGTCGTGAGATAGCGTTGGATGAATCCATTTAGATCAACTTCCGCACGACGTATGTTTCTTTTGCGCACAAGGAGCATCTTGACATCAGGATGCGATCCGTTAACTTCGATTGACTGGAGGAAAGCCAGTTTTGTCTCAAGAAGCACTGAACACATCGGTTTTGATTTGAGTGTTCCGCGATGGTGGTCACCGACCGTACGATATCTCGTATATTAGTGTCCAAATACTAAGCCGCACAAACCGTAGCAGAACATGAACGGACAAATGGGAGTGCTAAAATAAAAAATGCATGTCGAAGGTAGCTGGGCGACGTATGGGCAATGGGTTTTCAAGATCATGTAGTCCTCAAGGTTACCGGTTGAGGATTATTATAGGACATACAGACAGACTTAAGGCGGTAGAATCCCTTTAAGAAGTAAAAATGAAAGAAAAAAAAAAAAACCCGTAATAACAAAATGAAAACTCTAAAGCGAAACAGACGGCAATACTGATGCTTTTCATGGCCAATATCCTCAATCAAACAGTGCAACTGCAAATTCAAGTAGTACAATATGGAGATTTGCTTCCCAACTGGAACATTATTAGGGAATTGCATTTTCTGACTTATTTAGACTCGTCCGACATACAAGCAAATTCTGCGTTCATAAAATCAAAAATCGGGCCATTTTGTTTTCGTTGAAAGTCATTTCAATGGCCAAATTTCACATTTTTTTAATGGAATTCCCCAATAATGCTGCAGATTTGGGTTCAGCAGGATGATTTCACATTTTAACCACTGGCGCTCCAGATCTACATATGCAGATTACATGCAAATATAGAACGTAAAAATCATACATACCTGCTCATAATGTAAAAACGCTTTCTCTTTGTAGTTGTTACTTTTATTAAGTGGTTTGACACCAGATGGTGTAATATATAGATACAGTCAGTAAGTAGATAGTATTATGCATGAGAAAACAAGAAAAAAAGTATAAAATAAAAACAGAACAAAAATAAAACCGAAAGAAACGGAAAAAAGAAACGAAACTGTCCACTGACCAAAATGGACAGTGGGAAAAAACGGGGAGGAGGGGATGTTTCTTTTTCTTGATTTTTGTTTCTTCTTAGTTTTTAAATCACTCTCTCTCTCTCTCTTTTTTAATTAATTTTGTCCTGGAATATATACAGGTTGTTGGTGGCGGCCACAGCTATGACGTTCTCTTTCGGGTGCCAGGCGGTGTGTAGGATCTTCTTGTTGAAGTCCAGGCTGTCCACACTGATTTCGTCTTTCTTCCGTTTGCCGCCGGTGCAGACCTTGCGGGGTTTGAGCATGGCACGGGGTTTACTGTTCTCCCTCGATGCCTCCAGTGTGATGTCCCTGCGTGTGTTCCTGTCAAACATCCTAAAGAAATTGTTGTAGGAGCCCGTCATAATGGCACTGAGAAGGATGGAATTGCAGGGGCCGATGAGATGAGAAGAAAAAAAAAAAGATTAGTTGTCAATTTGTTGCAATCGATAGGTTACCAACAGTTTCACCAGGCTTTTGAATTTTTTTTTTTTTTGAGAACTTCTGCACCACCGTTTAATTACATTCAAGCAAATCGTGATGCATTTAAGCTACTTTTTGTACCTGCATAACAGGTTGGAAACAGGTTTTAGATCTTTTTGTTGTATCTTAAGTATTAAGCATTTGTTTGATGCAGGATCAAAAATCTGATTCACAGGTGGGAGTACTTTTTTCAAACTATTGGTTTCAACTATTTTGATTCAGTTCAAAAAATCCGATTCAGTGATTCTTTCAATCACATCATTTGTGTTCAAGTACCACTTCATCAACACCAAATCAGTAATAAACCCATATATACATGATGACCCGCGATGTCAGTCAGACCTGTCAGTCAGAAGTGTTTTGTTATCTATTTAATTTCATATCATTTTGCCAGAATGTTTAACTTCCCAACACTGGTATAACATACAATAGTTTATTATTATTTTTATTCTATTATTAATTATATATGAAATTCATATTATTTTGCCAGAATGTTTATCTTTCCTGCACAAGTAAAACAATTTCTCTCTATGTACTATAATTTAAAAATATATTTTATAAGTACTTGGAACGGGTGAGGGTAAAATTCTGCATGAACGCAGAATGCGCCCTTATTAAATACGGTTCCGCACCTGTCTGAACCGTTCCAACAGCACTCAAACTTGTCGAAAATGCAGTCGTTCTCGTAGAGCGAGCACAACTTGCTACGTAGGTACTCGTGTACCTAAAACAGAGCACAACAAATGTGAATCAGCAACAAAAACTAACAAAGAAATGTTATCATATCATTTGCAAATTTACATTTAAGCGGCATGTGAAACTTTGTGGAGGCGCTGGCAGTATATGAAGAGCGTATTAATTGAAGACGTGAAACACCATGTTCTGAAAACATGACAGCACAAGCTCTGGAATGTCAGCTGTTGCAATAATAAGATCTCTACTGTACCTGGTAGGTCTCTACGGGCCGGTTCTCCATATTCAGGTCCCAAACCTTAACGGAGAGGTAATCGCGTGTCATCATGTATCGACCGCTGTGGCTGAACTTGACATCAGATATGGAGGAGATGATTTCGGAGAAGAACGACCGGCTGCTGGGATCTTCTGGCTCCTCAAAAACTTTGGACGAACAAAAACACAATATTTTTGATGACATTTCAGACTTGCAGCAGAAGCATTAATAGCTGTTCGAGTAAAAAATGTAAAATCCTGCACATGAACAGTACCATTCAAAATATTTTTTTTTTGAAAGAAAAGAATACTTTTATTCAAAGTTGCATTAAATTGCCCAAAAGTGACAGCAAAAGACAATTATAATGTTACAAAATGCCCTGGGGGGGCGGGGGTTCCTTTCAATTTTGATATGAAATGTTTTTTTGCCCCAAATCAGCATATTACAATGATTTCTGAAGGATCATGTGACACTTACGATTGGTGTGAACTGGTGTTCACAATAATACTGTTTTTTTAAAGCAAATACAGGTGCATCTCAATAAATTAGAATGTCGTGGAAAAGTTCATTTATTTCAGTAATTCAACTCAAATTGTGAAACTCGTGTATTAAATAAATTCAATGCACACAGACTGAAGTAGTTTAAGTCTTTGGTTCTTTTAATTGTGATGATTTTGGCTCACATTTAACAAAAACCCACTAATTCACTATCTCAACAAATTAGAATACTTCATAAGACCAATAAAAAAAACATTTTTAGTGAATTGTTGGCCTTCTGGAAAGTATGTTCATTTACTGTACATGTACTCAATACTTGGTAGGGGCTCCTTTTGCTTTAATTACTGCCTCAATTCGGCGTGGCATGGAGGTGATCAGTTTGTGGCACTGCTGAGGTGGTATGGAAGCCCAGGTTTCTTTGACAGTGGCCTTCAGCTCATCTGCATTTTTTGGTCTCTTGTTTCTCATTTTCCTCTTGACAATACCCCATAGATTCTCTATGGGGTTCAGGTCTGGTGAGTTTGCTGGCCAGTCAAGCACACCAACACCATGGTCATTTAACCA